ATCCACCCTAACCTGCACATCCCTGGACACTATGGGACAATTTAGCATGGCTAATCCACCCTAACCTGCATGTCTTTGGACTGTGGAAGGAAACTGGAGCACCTGAAGGTAGAAACTCCACACAGTCACACGAAGCTGGAATCAAACCCAAGTCCCTGGCACTGTGAGGCAACAGTGTCACCCCAGGGTCTTTTCCCTAGGGTGGGGGAGTTCAACACTAAGGGGTATACTTTTAAGGTGAGAGGAGAAAGTTTTAAAAAGGACATGAGGGGTAACTTTTTTTAAACAGAGAGTGGGCTTGTGTGTGGAAATGAACTGCCAGAGGAAGTGGTGGATGTGGGTATAGTTACAACATTTAAAAGACATTTGGATAAGTACATGAATAAGAAATGTTTGGAGGGACATGGGCTAAACACAGGCAAGTGGGTCTAGTTTAGTTTGGGATTATGGTCGGCACGGACTAGATGGACTGAAGGGTCTGTTTCCGTGCTGTATGACTCTATACAAATAAAGAGAAAGGGACATAGTTGGAGATAGGAATAGTGAGATAGACAGGATAAGGCGGGGGGGGAAAGGGTGAACAACGGAGAAGGGCTAATAGTTGAAGAGAAAGCTAGAAAGGGGATAATAGAAATGGAGAGGGAGAGACTCAATTCTAGACACTGGAGACCGACACAATGAGAGATACAGCAACGGAGAGAGAAAGACAGATGGTGGGAAGAAACAGATGGAGGGAGAGAGAGAGATGAGAAAGACGGAGTAAAAGAGAAATTGAGAGGCAGGGAGGGAGAAAGACAGTAGGAGGCAGGCGGAGAGAGAGGAAGAGGCTGAGAGGGAGTGACAGAGGTCAGATAGGAAAAGAGTGTATCAAAATAAAGAGTTAAGGAAATTCTCAGCAGGTGCAGCAGCGTCTGTGGAAGGTGACCACTGCTGGGTCAAGACAGAGAGTGTTTTGAGTGGAAAGTAAAACCGGAGATCACAATGTTGGGAGTGTGGACGCAGTAGCTTTAATTGAGGCGAAGTGTCACATGGCCTGTATATGGGCTCTGGAGCAGAAACAGGCAGTCAGAGAGAGAGAAAGAGAACACACGCACAGACAGAACAGCATCTGGTAACATCTGAAGCCAGGCATCAAGAACAGTAAGGTAAGAAAGAGGACTGTTTCATCCTAACATGTCCCTCCTGAGGACAGGGAGAGAAGGAGGAGAGGAGACTGCGGGGTTGGGGAGGGAAATGAAATGTAACCCTGTGTTGAGAAATGTATCGTTTTTAATCTGGGTCATTTTGTTTCTGGCTGTGTTGTGCTGTGTGTGTGTGTATAATGTGTCACTAACAGGACCCTCACCCTCCGCAGAATATAACTCCCGTCTCTTGTAACCACGAAATATTTGTTTTTGAGACAAAGTCAGTTATTTTGGGTTGGGATTTTCCTTTGGTTGGTCGAAGGGTTTTAGTGGGGGGGGGGGACCGTACAAGCGGAATTTTATTTTATTGTTTGTCACCTGGCTATTTGTGTGTGCTTTAATCAATAATGTGTAATGCAATCTGCCTTATGTATATATATATATATATATATGTATGTTTTTGAAGGATTTCACAGTATGAAACTGACATGACATCTGGGGGATGTCAGTTTCTGGGGCTTTGCTGTGAGATTTCCGCTCGCTTTATGAAACTGATTGAATATTGTCTTTGAAAAGCCGAGGGTAAAATGCAATCCAACCATCTTTCTATTGGTGCATTGTCCGTCTCTCCAGCCCTGTCCAATTATCACGGATTCCGTGGCGATTTAATTGGGTTTGCTTTTACAGTAACCTTCCTCCCCTCTGCTATCCAACCCACCACCCCCCCCGCCAGCTTCCAACACCACCTCACTCTTTCCCCAAAGCCACACTGCAGCTCTTAAAGGCGCCAACTGCAGCCAAAGTGTAGCTGGGTTTAATATTATTTGCCGACGCAAAATTGCAAAGTTTACAGCCGTTCTCAAGTGCCATCAGAAGGAGTCGGTCCGACTTTTTAATAACAAATGTCATCTAGAGGATGTGAATCTGTTCAGGAAATATCTTTGAGATCTTCACATTCCTCCATTTGTGAGTCTCACATAAGGTTTTGTGTAGAGCTGGACAGAATTATTACAGTGCAGAAGAAAGCTTTTGGGCAGCCTGTGGGCTATTCTCTGTGTTGTCACACAGTTTGTGTTTCTTATTGGACTGGCTGGCCTCTCTCCCTCTCTCTTATTCTCTGTGATGCCTACAATATTGTACATTCAAGTCACACTCCCACTGTGGTCATGTTTCACACTGACCATCCAGTTGGCACCACTGAGGGAGCGCCGCTCTGTCGGAGGGTCAGCGCCGCTCTGTTGGAGGGTCGGCGCCGAGGGAGCGCCGCACTGTCGGAGGGTCGGCGCCGAGGGAGCGCCGCTCTGTCGGAGGGTCG